TGGCGCTAAGGCAGCTCTGCTTTCTCCTTTCAGAGCTGAGAACCAGGGGTGAGGCCCGTGGCTTCGGGGGTGGGGGGAAGGGAGCAAAGATGTTTTCTGCAGGTGTTTTGGAGCAAAAGCAAACAGGGACAGTGGGCTTTGGGATTATGGACTGAAGGAGCACACCCTTCACATTAAAAGAACGAGGGCCCACTGTAAAGGTTTCAGCATCCCTCTTGGATCGGCTGCAGGTAGAGAGGGATTAGCTTTTTGTTTTCTGGCTCATTAGGCCAAGGGCTAAGCATCTCCAAGACAGGATGAGAAATAAAAACCTAGGAAAGAAGTCAGCAGTTCACTGAAGGCGTCAACCTCACCTACAGCCTTTCTTTCTTTGGTGCCTCTTGGTAAGATGAACCCAAATACAGTGATGCCTCGCATAGCGAGGTTAATCCGTTCCGGATTAACCTTCGCTATAGCGAAACATCGCTGAACGGGACAGGGAAAGCCATTGGAACGCATTAAACATCGTTTAATGCATTCCAAAAGGCTCCTTTACTCACCGTTCAGCGAAGTTTCCTATGGCCGTCAGCCATTTTTGCGCCCTCGTTAAGCGAGGGGAGGGGGCGAAAACGCTGCGCGCGGCCATTTTGGGGCTTCCGGTGGCCATTTTGTCTGCCGAACAGCTGATCGTTGGAGCTTCGTTTTGCGAAGATCGGTAAGCGAAACGCTTACCGATCTTCGCAAAGCGCATTTCGCCCTATCTAAAGCTCGTTGAGCGATCGCATTAGCGATCCCAAAAAAGGGATCGCTATGCGATTTCGTCGTTGTACGGTGCTCTCGTTAAGCGAGGCACCACTGTACATGAAAAATCCAGAACAACTCACCTTTCCCCCTCCCCAGGTATGGAGCTAGTATGGCTCCTGGGAGTAGCACCACCTGGTGGAGGGACGTGGGGGAATACTTTCCCCCATCAAACCCAGGATCTCACCCGAACCCCGAGTTGCTTCCCGGATAAGGTGAAACCGGTCAGCCATCAGAGCGGCTTACCAAGCACAGCAACCACAATCATCATCTCACCTAGCATACCAACTGTGTTCCTCACCTGTAATTTGTAGTAGAAGGGCAGTGTGCACCCACCCCCCAGCATTAACTGGAGGATCTTTCTCTTTTGCGATGATGATGGAACCACATCCTCTTAGAATGCATTGCCATTTTACAATCTCATCTTGAATGCACCCAAGAGAAAATTGAGCTTCCCTCTCCATCTCTTCCTGCTCAAATCTGCCCCTCTTTCTCCTGCAAGCTGATAATTTTACATTTTTTGGGAAGAACCAGAACTGGGCAGATTATTATTATTTTTTAAAAGACAAAGATGCATTGAAGATATGCAAGCTTTACCAATTGAATATCTGTGGGTAGTACAGCTGGCAGAAATGCAGGAGCCTAGGAGTAGAAGGACATGTGGCAAAACTCACCGAAAACACCCACTCTTTCCCATTGGCTGTTGAAAGAAAAATCCTAGGTCTTTCAACCCGTAAATGTCCTGCCCTAAATTGCAGGCGAGGTCTGTCGCAGTGCCAGATCTGCTCCTTAGCAGAAGCTCTGCTCTCCTCCTTTTGCAGTCACAGACACCAAATTTCATGGCAATCATTAAATCTCAGTAGCTCATAAGCCTGCGACGCATGCATTACACCCCATGTTAACTTTTATAACTCTCTCTATAAACAGCTCCCCCACCCAAAATGGGGTGGTGGTGGCAAGGGGACACCTACTGTATCCCTTTAAAATCTGAGTTCATTGTTTTAAAAATTGTTTTACAAGCAACCAGGGTGGGGTGCGGTAGGGGGGGATCTGCAGCGCTCCCACAATATTGGGAGTGTCTCTTGTTACACTTCCTGCCTTGGGATTCGAAGACGAGAGAAACTGCGTGCTTGTGTAATGCAAGGTAGCAGATACCCAGGGATGTAGGACTTGTTGTCAAATCAGACTTAAGTTGCACCAGTGGCTTGACTCAGTCCCCCCCCCCAATGATTTGGACTTGAGTCACCACCCATCCCTCCCTTTTTTTCTGGAGGGGAAAAAAAGCTTGTACTTAAACCATCCCTCCCTTTTTTTCTGGAGGGAAAAAAAAGGCTTGTACTTAAGAGGGACTTGGTACCAAAGATGTGCCCCTTTACGGATTGCTGCCTTGTTGTGGCAAAGGGACTTGAGTAATTCAGAGAAGCTATGGGCTATGCCATGCAGGGACACCCAAGACGGACAGGCCATCGTGGAGAGCTCTGACTGATTGGTTCAAAATTTGAACTGATTGGTTCAAAATTGGGAAAGAAGTACGACAAGGCTGTATATTGTACCCCTGCGTATTTAACTTATATGCAGAATACATCATGCGAAAGGCAGGACTGGAGGAATCCCACGCCAGAATTAAGATTGCCAGAAGAAATATCAACAACCTCAGATATGCAGATGATACCACTCTGATGGCAGAAAGTGAAGAGGAATTAAAGAACCTTGTAATGAGGGTGAAAGAGGAGAGCGCCAAAAATGGTCTGAAGGTCAACATCAAAAAACAAACAAACAAAACTATGATCATGGCCACTGGTCCCATCACCTTCTGGCAAATAGAAGGGGAAGATATGGAGGCAGATTTTATTTTCTTGGGCTCCATGATCATTGCAGATGGTGACAGCATCCACAAAATTAAAAGACGCCTGCTTCTTGGGAGGAAAGCGATGACAAACCTCGACAGCATCTTAAAAAGCAGAGACATCACCTTTCCGACAAAGGTCTGCATAGTTCAAAGCTACGTTTTTTCCTGTGGTGATGTATGGATGTGAGAGCTGGACCATAAAGAAGGCTGACCGCCGAAGGACTGATACCTTTGAATTGTAGTGCTGGTGGAGGCTCTTGAGAATCCCCTGGACTGCAAGGAGAACAAACCTATCAGTTCTGAAGGAAATCAATCCTGAGAGCTCCCTGGAAGGACAGATCCTTAAGCTGAGGCTCCAATACTTTGGCCATCTCATGAGAAGAGAAGACTCCCTGGAAAAGACCCTGATGTTGGGAAAGAGTGAAGGCAAGAGGAGAAGGGGACGACAGAGGACGAGATGGTTGGACAGGGTCATCGAAGCGACCAATACGAATCTGACCCAACTCCAGGAGACAGTGGAAGGCAGGAGGGCCTGGGGTGCTCTGGTCTGTGGGGTCACGAAGAATCGGACACAACTTAATGACTAAACACCAACAACAAACCAAAGACATGGACTTGGGACTTGGTACCAAAGACATGCCAACATCCCTGCAGATGCCTGAACCACCAGGTAGCCTCTTCTGAAGTGGATGGGAAGCTTGATGCCTTCCTATAAAGATTTATCCAGAATGTCAAGCCAGAGTCAGATTAAAGGCTCTTAAACAGCTGCCCCGCAGGCCAGAAATTGGCAGGAGCAGCATTACCCTTCCTTTTACCTCAGCGGTGAGAGAGGTGGCACTTATTTTTCTTTCTATCATTTCAAGAGGAGTCGAATTAATGTCCTGTTGCTGTTGAATAATACATGGGAGTCGCTTGTGGTGCGGAAAGGTGACTCACAAGTTTTATGAAGTTGGCTCGGGAGACAACGCGATTGTCGTTAGGGTACGTCACCCACTGGGACCGCTGCTGTCCTTCCAAACCAGTACTGGACACGGGACAGGGAGGCACCACTGCTGTACACGGAGCCGGTTCATTTGGACAGTTAAAAAAACAACAACTCCGAGATCCCTTTTCCCCAAAGATACAATGGAGAAAAAAGGGACTCCTCACGGATCATTTCGCACCAGGCTAAATGTAGCGGTAGCCGCAGGTAAGCACAAAAGACTGGCTGCAGGTAAGACTCCAAACGCATCCTCGTTGAATATCCTTCAGCTACATCTCCCATCAGCCCTAACTAACAGCATAGCCAGTGATGAAGGATGCTGGGACCTACAACCTGAGGTCCTTCAGGCAGATCTACTTCGCTCACCCCTGCGTCCCCCCATCTTATCCATCCTCTTTTCTCCGGTAATCGACAGCCGCTGGTTTTTGCGTGATGTAGAGGCCCTGCCTCTGACATATACATAGACAGAAGGGATGATGGGGCTTTTATTAGGGCTTAATATCCAAGAGAGGCCTTTTATGGCTCCGGTTTCAGGAGAAGAGGGGCTGGCGTTTCAGGGCCTGTCGCTGGCTTGGGTTGGTTTATCTCTCTCTTGGGCACCATCGAGCACACCGGTGATAAAAGGGAAAAGGGGAAAAAAAAAAAACCTCTGATGCCGCATGCTTTGAACAGCCACCATTGCAAGATTTTGCTATTTTTTATTTGGATGAAAAGATATGCTGGAGAGGGGGGACGTTTAAACTACACAGCGGAGACAGATATGATATATATATACTTGCTCCTCCTTCCACCATCACCCTTACCCCATGCGCTGGCATGCAAATCAGAGTGCCACGGAAATGCGAGGTCTTTTCGCTGCTCCCTAGCCTTACAGCGAGCCAAGGAGCTGCAGAAAGCGGGTCTGAGTCTTGGTGCAGGATTCCCGGAGCAGCTCGGCCCTAGGGAGGCCTCAGAGAGAGAGCCCATGCCACCGGACTGCATTCCCAAGAACAACACAAAGCCACAGGAGTGGTAGCTGTCGATGATTTCAAGGGCTTTGCAGTGGGAGGGAGGCAGCCTAAGAATCCTTAGGGTCTTTTCTGGCATGAGGGCTGGACTTATGATTTAGGAATTCTGCCTCGGGAGGGTTAAAATACAGTTGAAGAGCATTTGACCAATACAAAAGCACAAGTGGGGGTTGCAGCGATGACAGCAATTTAAGAATCATGGGGGGGGGAACCGTCTCCCTTGTATTCTTTTAGGATTTCAGAGGGGAAAAGGTTCACCCTTTTAACAAAAGGGATGTTCCACGTACTGGTTGCAAACTTTGCAGGATGTTCTTGTTTTACTGCCAGTTGTCTTCTGCTACCAAACACACACACAGAGAAAGAGAGAGAAAAACAACACCAGAGGGAATAAAGGTTTTTCATTTATTTTTAAAATCCTGCAAAGCATCGGAACATGTGGGGGTTCTGTGCTCGGCCTTCAGCCTTCGCCTGACAGCACATGGAGCCCAAAAGACAGCATCAGTTTGAATAGAAAAGGGTTGATACAGCTTTCATGAAATGCAGAGGCCAAAAAAGCAAAAGGCCAGAAGAACATTATTTCAGCCTTGCAAAGGGAAGTGGAGAAAGGCACGTAAATGGCTAACTCACTGGAAGAGGATTCACATACACATACCGACAAGCTCATTGTCATTCCCCAAGAACCCCATCTTCCCATTTTAAAAAAATAAAATAAAGCAACGAACACTTCCCAACTTATATACACACAAGAAACCCATCACTGTACAACGGAGGTTGCTCTATCATCCTGCAGGCAGAAGAAGCTGGATCCTGAAGTTGTTTAAAAAATAAAAAAGGAATCCATTTCATGGGAACAGGGAGAAGAAGGGAAAAGATTCATCATCACACCTGCAAGAGGTGCTCTGGTGTCTTCCCACTGGTCATCCCACAACCGGGGAAAAAATGGAAACTTCTTGCCAAAGTGAAACTGCTCTCCTGATCTGAACCATGGTTCTGACAACAACATTATGGTTTTTGAAAGGATATAGGGCCCTGTCCTGTTTTGAGCCACTGCCAGGCTGCCTTTTAAGCCCAAAGAAACGTGGACTGGCTCATGTTCACCCAAAATGCGACTTCCCCAAACTCGGTCTTTTGGTCTAAAGATCTAAATCCCTCTCTCGGCTCTCCTCAAGGTGTTCCCAAATAAGGGTGCAGGCGCGCAGGGGCGGGTGTTTGCGACGGCATCACCTACTGTGCCCCCATCTTTGTGTGACCCAATACAAACGTTCAAAAATAGAAGCCCTTCGGCATCCTTAATAGTTCTGGAGAACCAGGAAGGTTGACGGGGAAAGGTTATCGTACAGCAGCAAAACGTGGTGCAAAATGAGACGAATATTTCGGCAGGCGGATTCTGCCCACCCACCGGCCAACAAAAAGCAAGTGGATCTGATTCATGGGGGTCCAATCCCCTTATTTCTTCTGTGCAGGTCATTGGTAGCATGTTAAGTCTTTGCTCCTGCTCAACACCAGGGGAAAAGAATACTTCATGCCCATAGCCCTAAGCATATACTACCTACTTGGGGTGTGTGTTTGTGTTTGTGTGTGTGTATGCTCAGGAAATGCATGAGAAGACCAGAAATGATATGGCAACTCCTACCTGCTTTCTGTTGTTGCATTATTAGCCCTAAAGGGTAATTTGAACACAGGATGCTGTCGAACCTTCCTCCCCCCCATGCACTTTCCTGTAATGGAAATTGTGTCTCAGGTTGTGGGAATATTTCTGAATATATTTTTTTTCCAACAGTTCTGGGAGAAGACAATGTAAATGCTCACTTCCGGTAGGGCACCATTGTCTGATGCTAACTAAGATGGAGCAAACACCCCGAGGAAACAGAAAGCATCCTCAGGGGAATCATCCTGGTGGCTTTTGGCCCCCAACAAGGAGAGAACCAGCTTCTGAGTTCCTTGAAAACTCTGGCTGCATTAGCCATATGTAACTATATGGGGTAGAATATATATATTCATTACATCGGAGAATGTAGAGGCAGCCATGTTGACCAAGAACCAGAAAGCAAAGATCCCAATTCGGTATAAACAGGACACCTTTATTAGCCCAACCTTTTTTTTAAAGAGAGAGAAAATGGTGTGCAAAGCTGGCAGGGCCACGACCCCTTCATCGAAGGTGACAAGACATCCTGAGGAAGAGGCTGTGACCAAACATCCATCGGGTGGATGCCAGCGTGTACGTGTGTTTTCGCTGGTCTAATAAAGGCATCATGTGGAGATGTAATTTACACATGGAAGTTACCACAGGCTTTCAAGGAAGAGTCAATATAAGAGCCTCAGTCACCCTAGATGGAGTGCTCTATCTACTCGTAGAGGTTCTGTGGGAATTCTGAATTCGGAAACGTTCAGGAAAGGCCAAGTCTTCTCTCTCTTGGACTGGGGAACCACGAAAACAAAACAGAAAGGAGAAAGAAATGGGTTCCCGTCCCCTGTAACTCTATTGACCTATTTCCCCTCCTTACATCACGAGGGGGTGCGTGTCGGCCACGACCGAAGGCACAGAGTCCAGGCTGCCTTTGTAGATAGGGGTGCGCTGGCCGGCGTCTTCCCTGCAGAGAGAGGGAGAGAGAGAAAGAGAGAGAGAGGTGTGAATACTATTCAGGGTTTATTTTATTCCCCGTCCCCCATTACCTGATCAATGCAGGAACTAAAAAATACTGGATTTAAATTAGCCAAGTGTCTGGGTATAGGGGAATAAAATATACGGGGTGATATACTAGACTTTATCCACACATCACATGTCTCATTAGACATCCTCGAGAGACTATGGTACCATGCTCTGTATGGAGGGCTTCGAACAGCGTCTAGCGTGGCTGAGAAGGCCAATTCGAGAATGACCATCCCATCCACACTGAAGACAAATACAATCTGTCTCCTCTCCAGCTCCCTGATTTTGCTGGTTTGGGGACTGCCTCTTTGCCTCGGCCTGCTGGACAAGGGTCTCTTCAAATTGGGAGAGGCCATGATGCATTGTCTGCCTCCAGGCTGAACACTCAGAGGTCAAGGTTTCCCATCTGTTGAGGTCCATTCCGAAGGCCTTCAGATCCCGCTTGCAGATATCCTTGTATCTCAGCTGTGGTCTCCCTCTGGGGTGATTTCCCTGCACTAATTCTCCATATAGGAGATCTTTTGCAATCCCCCCATCAGCCATTCTCACGACATGCCCGAGCCAACGTAGACGTCGCTGTTTCCGTAATGTATACATTACTGCATCACATGAACCAATTGAAAATAAATGCTTATGGACAGCCTTGAATAAAGAGCAAGAATGGATGTTATATCTGGAGAAAACCCTCTGCTTTTTAGGCAAAATCGCTTACACAGACTACCGTTTCAGATTCTGAAATTTGAAAAAAGAAATTGCAGCTCATCTAGTTCAATGAGCTGACCTAACATCAAAAAACCCAAATCAGGGATCTTAGAAGTATTTTCATTACTATTATTGCAAGTTCCAGAACTTCCAGCTCCTGGCTGGGGATTCTGGGAGTTTCAGTCCCCCTTCCCAAAAAGGAATGCTTCTCGCCTCCGCCACATCCTTGTGCCACAGCCCCCCCTCCCTTCCCACCAAGACCAAGGCACTCACTGGGCTGCTTTCTTCTTGGCCCGGCGACGCGGGATCACGAAGGCAATGACCATGATCACCAGCACCAGCAGCACGGCTGGCAAAGCCACCACCAGGGCCAGCATCGGAGTGCTAAGGGACATCACAGAATCTGGAAGGCACAGGTTGAAAGCAAAGGGTCAAACCAGACATGAAGGAGAATGCAAACAGATATGGATTTCCCGTGATTAACCTGTTCCTTCGCCCCCCACAAATAGGATTTCTTCAGAGATTATGTTTTCAGCAAGCAGGCTTGTAAATTAAGCCAGCGTTTACTGCCAATGACCAATCACAGAACAGCGCACGCTAAATACAAGGTACGTGGGTGAGGAAATTCACTTGCTACGCCCAATGTCTTTCGACACTCCAGAGAGCACTTCTTCTAAAAAGTAAGGAGCGCATCCTCTAATCTGACAAGGTGTTAACCTATATCATGGGGCAGAGTCCAACACAGCTAAACATCATTACACTACTTCTTCCAGAAGAGGGCAGCAACACACATACACACTCATGGACACACTCCCCCTTTCTCCATCACAAACACACAGAGGTTGACTTTCTTGCAAACATTAACAGCGTTTCAATAAGTCTGTAATGGCAGAAAGCGGTTGTAGGGCCAAAGCAGGAAAGGGGTCCCAGGTGTGGGGAGGGGCTCCCGGGCGAAAGCCGAAAAGGGAGTCCCGTGCGGTTTCTTTCAGTGCCTAGGCTTTGCCGTCCAGACTCAGGCAGAGCGGAGTCGAAGGGTGCCTGCAAAGGGTTCTCACCAAAAGTAAATGCGCGCTTGCTCCCCTCCACAAAGAGGCGGATCGATTTGCTCTTGGACAGCTGGGGCAAAGTGGGGTGCTGGGCCTGGCAAACGTAAGTCCCCGCTTGCTCTCGGGTCACCTTGGCGAGAGTTAAGGCATCAGACGCCACGATCCAGTCTTCCCCCTGTCGTCGTGGGAGAGAAGAGCTGTTAGAATGCCCGGTGTTAAAGGCAAGCCTTCGCCGGAAGCAGCTTCTACTCCTGGACCTAGTTCCAGGGTTGCAACACAAGGAGCCAACAGTCTTGTGACGGTAGCAGTCAATGTGGAAAAAGCATAAGTCTAAATCCTAGTTGTAACATGTTTAAACTGAACCGCTAGTATCCTGTTGCACTATGGACTGCAGAAGTGCTGTCACGTAAGCGCTCTTGCAGGTTCTCCGTCGCATGCCCGGTCTCGTGCTGGTTGCGAGACTGGTTGCACAACCTGTAGTGTGATCTGTTGTATAGCAGGAGATCTGCTAGAGCTGGGTAAAGTTTAGGTAATTTCCGTTACCGAATGCTAGGCAACGTGACTGACTTTATTTCAGGTATTTATCATCACATCTATATTCCGCCTTTCCTCCAGTGACCTTCAGGCAGCCGACGTGGCTCTCCGCCACCCTCAGAAATGTGTATTTGTGTCACAAAACTGATTGGGGAGGGAGGGGCCTTCAAGAGTGAATCAAGAGAATCAAAATGGAGTAATTAACTCTTTTCCCCATTTAGCCATCTTTTTCTTCCAACTCTTCTGCCCCTCCCCGCATCATTTTAGCATGATTTTATCTCTCGGCTAGGTTAAGAGATTGTAAGTAAAACAAGAAGAGATGAAAATGGCTTTGGGACAAGCCTAGAAGACGACATCAGAAACATTATTTCAGTTTTAAAAAAATCAGAACAACCCTAAGAGTGAATGAGAAACAGAGAGATGATTAGAGATGTGGAACAACCCACCGGTTCAGCGGCTCATGTTCATTGATCGCCCAAATAGGTTTCAGCACTTCCCCGCCTCCTCCAGCAGGCGCCCACTAAGGGGCAGCGTCCAGAGGAGGAAGGGCAGGGAAGCTCTGAGTGGGCGCCCGCTGGAGGAGGCGGGGCTGGGAAGGGCCAAACACTTGTTCGGCTGATAAACGAACCAGAACGAACCGCCGAACTGGCAGCACATGCCCAACTCTAACCAGGAAGCATCTTCCCTTACAAAAGAACTAGCTTTGCTCTTTTAAAAAATGGGCAAACAGTTAGCGTAGCACTAATGAAAAAAAAATATGTGGACAGTTTGCACCTTTGAGGTAAAATCTCAAGTCCCAGCAGCTAAGAGCCATGTATTGCTATATTAAACAGAAATGTGAAGGACACGAGGCCATCTACTTCATGATGGACTCTCTTTTCTTTTCCTAGAGCTTTGACACGTCAATTCTTTGGCCCGGTTGGCAGGGGATCCTGGGAGTTGTAGTCCAAAACAAACTAATTTCCCCAGACTCTGTCCTTCCCTCTCACCCTCTTACCTCTCGGGTCCACTCGTAAAGTGGGGGCTGTGAGGCATCTGCTAAGCACCGGAGTTCCAGATTTTTGCCTGCGAGTATGGTGATGGAATTCCCGACCGTCCCGCACCAGGTATTGGCCTGGCTGAGGTAGACACTACGCAGATCTGAGGAAAGAGAGAGAAAGAATATGTACTGTATCCATGCCATCCCCTAATTTTTGGCAATGAAATCCTGCCTTGGAAGCTAAAGGCAACTGTGTGTGACAAATATATGTAGTTTTTGAACTTGCTTCATTATCAACTCTGCCCTTTCCACAATCGTGAGGACTGAGTTTTGTGCTGCAAACACCACCCAGTGAACTACAGCTCCCACGATGCGCAGGGAAGAGGAAATCATGAGGCAACCTGTTTAAATCTGTAGCAGAGATGGCTCCCAAGAGAAGCTTCAAACCACCACCTCCTGAATGTTTTCCAGATGCACTGCACTACAGTTCCCATCACTTACTATTCTGGCTGAGGCAGCATGGGACTTGAAATCCATCCCATCAAGGGACCACTGGTTCGGGAGAAACTTTAGAAGTTCAAATTACAGGAGCAGAAGGTAGCCCTTCCTCATTCCTGACAGATCAAACCCTGCCCAAAGGGCTGGCATTCAATATGTATGCAATTATCTGCAGCCTGGCAGGGTGTACAGGAAAATGCAGATTATTGCGACGGAGCGGCTGTCTTTTAAGAGTTCCATCGGGATCGACGCTGGCAGAAGGCACGCACCCAATCTGCAGTGAAACTGGGCAGGTCCACGGTATCAACCTATACTCTATCATGCGTTCAGGGACACCACGATCATCGCTCAAACCCAGAAAATTAGAAATATTTTATGGGTTCAAAATGATGTCAAAGAAAGCTGAATGCTGTTTGATTTAAAAAAAACAAATGGTGAAGCTCACACCTAAATGGAACCCCACTCCTTAATTTTAAATACACGGGGTTCAGGTGGTCAGGACGAGAAACCGACTCGCTGCTGTTGCTCCAAACTAATTTTCTTCCATTATTTATTAACCTGTTTCTTTCATGGATAGCATGGGACACAAATGAGGTGGATCTGCTGCTAAATGTTTATTATTATTCTAAGATTATTAATTATAATCCTATGCTATCAAATCAATTCTGGCCTATAGTGACCTCTTCTCCCCCCTCCCAGTTTTCCAGAACTCAGAAGTGGTTTACCCTTCTGCTCCTCTAGGGGGAGCCCCAGGACTGTGCAGCTTGCCCAAGGCTACCCAGGCTGGCTCTTCTTTCTGGAGGCACCGTCAGGAATTGAACCCCCAACCTCTAGCTCCTCCCCAGCTCACTGTGCTATCCAGCCAGCATTATTATTACTGCAGGACAAAAAATCAACATTATTTACTGGAGATTTTCTTCCCAGTTATACCACTCCATCCTTAGTAAACATGATGTATGATTTATTTATATAAATCCACATTAAATCTCTGTTTTAGTGTTCCTCATCTTTTTAGCCTACATCTTCTATTGCCTGATACAGGGATAGACTTTCTCAATCCTCTCTTCCGGATTAGCCAGATCTGAGATTAGTTGGCTTGTCCAAGGCTACACAGGCTGATTTTTCTCCCAGTCTAATTCTTGACCTCTGGCCAAAAAATTGGGTTCTTGGGTTACCAGGTAACCCAACCCATTGCGAGACAGCTTTTCTGTTACAAGCTCCTAGTCCTCATGTACTGTACAGTATTTCCTCTCTATCAGCCTCTAGTGGCGAGCGAGTGAAAAACTAACGTACATTCCGTTTGCAGGTCCAGCTCATTGGAGAAAGAGGCGTTATCAGTGGAGTTGGAACTGGCACAGCGATAAAGCCCAGTGTGCCAGGACTGCACATCGTTGATGGTCAACAGGAGGCGCCCATCATCATGGCTCACAGCGACATCATAAAACCAACAGCGCAGTTCGGTAGCTTCATTCAGAGTGATCCAGGAATGGAGCCACTGAGGAATGGAGACAAAAAAACACAACTCCCTTTTTTCATCACCCATTGCAGGATATGGCCCGCTGTTGCCCACCTGCAATGCCAACTGGAAAGGGTACAATAAGATATCTTGGGTGTCTGTGTGCGTGAAACCCAGGATAGAAAACCCTCTTTTGCTTGTATTTTTTTCTACTGCCTTCTGTATCCGGACATAGTCCAAAATCCTGTTGAGTATTTACACCAGCATAATGCAACCGACGCCAATCTTGCTGGAAGATTGCTGCATGTTAAGAAGCGAGTGTGAGCATTTGCTGTTGGGCAGCGGGTCACATAACATCAAATGCCAACACCAGCTTCTTAGGAGCTTATCCGGGAAATCTGTACCATGTGCCTTACAGCAGTGGGCATAGCTAATAGAATTTAGACCAGCTGCAATATCAAGGCTGTCCAGAACTTAGAAAGTTACTTTTTAAAAAGGTAATTGGTTATATCATCCCACTTCATCCCAGTAAACAACACAAAAAAACCTTTCATAGCTTGGTCTAAAATCCGGAAAACAAACCTCATCTTCTAAATGAACTCCACACCCCCAACTGATTCCGCCTCCACAGAGCAAGTGAAAAATTAGTCGGCATTACTTATTACGCAGAAAAAAAAACAATGTTACAAATGGCCATGTTTTTTTGCAGGAAGATTGTCACTATCGCCTTAATTATGTAAGGTAACATTGTTACAATTAACCCCACCCTGCAGAATCAATATCCGCTGATTCACTTATCCGCTGGCTGAGAATACTAAATATAACAATATGTATTTCCAGGGTGTAATTCCCAGAACTGGCTACGAGAGGGAGCCAGAGTATCAAATATATAGCATTTATATGTTTTTCCACATCTGTTTGGGGAGCTTGGAACCGATTCCCCCATGAATAGCAGGGCCCTACTGTATTTTTAACATATCTTTCCCGAGATCCAAGGTGAGGACCTCTCGCATATTGCTCCGATTCAGGAATGATCGTTAAAGTCTCCAGAGACTTTACAGGGTTGTACTACTGATAATTCTGCGTTGTGAAGTCCTTTCTAACTTATGGAAACCATTTCCGGGGTTTTCTAGGGAGAAGACACAGATTTACCATCCTCTTCTTCTGAGGACCGTTTGGGACTGTGCAGTTTTCCCTAGGCCACATAGGTTGCCTCCCATCTTAGGAGGCACTGTGAGGAATTGAACTCCCAAACTCTATCTAAAACCACTGAGCTGCCCCACCAGCTATAGGTTGTACCGCCCAGTACCTTCTCGGCACCCTATATACGTATTTGGCAACGCCTCCCCCGTGCCCCCTTTGGATCAAGCTCGCCCACCGGTGAGGCTGGCAGGCAGTGCCCCCTCACGACCCCCCGGGAGTAGGAGAGCGCTTCTTACCTTACTGTATTTCTGGAAAGTGAAGCCACTTAAATCCTCGCCACCCTCCTCAGACAGACACTCCAGAACAACATTGCTGCCTTCGATAAGGGGGCCTCCCTGGTCAATGAGACGGATGATGGGCGACCCTGAAATTGGAGGGTGAGGCTGGCAGGCAGTGCCCCCTCACGACCCCCCGGGAGTAGGAGAGCGCTTCTTACCTTACTGTATTTCTGGAAAGTGAAGCCACTTAAATCCTCGCCACCCTCCTCAGACAGACACTCCAGAACAACATTGCTGCCTTCGATAAGGGGGCCTCCCTGGTCAATGAGACGGATGATGGGCGACCCTGAAATTGGAGGTTTGGAAAGCACTTGGAAAGATCTATTTATTTATTTATTTATTTATTTATTTATTTATTTATTTATTTATTAGATTTCTATCTCGCCCTTTTAGACAAAGTCTACTCGGGGCGGGTTCCATTAAACAATGTAAACTAAAACAGTTTAAAACAATTCAAAACAATAGTGATTAGTAATGCTTAGTACTGTAATGCAATTTTACCAATTACAGTACTTTCATGATTTGCACCTGGATGTTCCCGGCTCCCTTCCATTTTATGCATCTCCCCCGCTTTTTTTTTAACAAATGACTTATTTTGTTGTGTGCGTATAAACGTCGGTGCGCCTGCCCCTCTCCCATAAATGATATTTCCTCAACTTGGTCCCCATCGTTGGAGATGGATTACAAACTCCATCCTCCCCGGCCGAGTTGGGAGAGGCTGCCTTAAATTCTAGCCATGACCTGGTTGTGGTGGTGGGTGGGAATGGGGACTCGAATACAGAGCCTCTTACAT